GGGAAATACTGGGGAATCGGTCCGCAGCTATCGATCGTTCCTGGCAGACTGCTTCTCTCCTCGGTCCTACCTCGTCACTCGCACCGGACGACCCTGACTGTCGTCGCTCTCTCGGAGATAAATCGAGTTTACCGTCAGGTACCGCGCTCGGGACAAAGTTATTATAGTTTCGATTCGATTACGTCGCACTGCAACGACAGTTACGAGGGAAAACCGAGCGCCTTGAATCCCATCGCTCTGCCCTTTCGTACCCTTTTACCGGCGACGATGATCTTTACCCTAGATCAGCTGGATCGCCATGTCTTCTGGGAGGCTACTCGACTAGGAAGAGCTAGCAGAGAAAGAGTATGCAAACCAGCGTGTGTTAGTAGACAAAGCTTACGATATTCCCGTAGTGTGCCAAGCTTTCTATCGATACTACGTCTACATATCCTATCTTAGATAACATATAAATATTGATGTTTGACTCCTTGTTCACAACCTTGCTTTAATCTTCAAATCGTAAGAAATTGACCAACCACAGTCGATTATTTTAAAAATACTCAACTGTGATTGATCAATATCTTACGGCTTAAAGATTAAAGCAAGGTTGTGGACAAGGGGCTAAAGTTCATAAAAATAAGGGAGAGAATAAAACAGAGAGGATGCAAGATCATCATGTAGATCAATGGTGCAAAGTGGAAACAAATTGCAGATAACTTACAGTTAGATATATTATTGCTTTCCTTTAGTTGAAGCAAATAATGATAATTACTCATAAATTCAGAAAAGAGTATGTGTGTGTGTGTGTGTGTGTGTGTGTGTGTGTGTGTGTATGAGAATATGTGTGTACACAGAGAAAACGGTTTCTTTGAGCTTAGTGTTCCTATCCATTTGACTCGAATAACAACATATTCTATATCAAATGTTATTTTATTTTATTAAATTGTCTTTTACTATATTGTCTCACGTTGAACACTATTTAAATACTATTATAGTATTTAAAGAAAATAAAATTTGATTTTCAATCATATAATATATTATTTCATACTTTAAATATTGCTCAGCGTTAGATTGAATCGTGTTCTTTGATCGGAAAGAAAACTATTATTTTAAACGTCCCGTTTTTTAATCTATTGTTTGGACTAATCAAGGATGAGTGATCGTAATAATGATGGAGCATTTGAACAGAAAATCATATAGAAGAGCTATCCATGGGAAGCGTACACGATGAAGTAATAAAAAGACAGACTGTCAGTAATGCGGGGAAAAATGTCAAAAGTTATTTAAACAGAATTATTGAACTCTTTTGGTAAAATGAAAAAAATTTAGTAAAATAATTTGAACCAAACAAAATAATCATTTGGGCCAAGCAAAAAATTTACTCAAATAAAAAATCATGTTTGTTGAATAAAATCAAACAAAAAATCATGTTTGTGTGTTGAATAAAAAATTAATTTGTTTGATAAAAAATTAACTTGTTTAATGAAAATTTCACTTGTTAATCGAATATTAATATGATTATTATAAATATATTTTAATTTTATTTTTTATTGTTTTTAATTAGCTAAATAGCGCGCGCTTGAGTCAAAAGAAACCGTTTTCTCTGTAAAGAGGTACGGCAGTGGTATTGTAAACAATAATAAAATATCGTTTTCTTTCTTTAATGGTATTGACATAATTTTCGAATAAACCTTCTGTCAAATTATTTTTACGAATAGACGATATTTAATTAATCGAAAATTTTATTCTCGACTAATTTTCCGCTGAAAGAAAAGCGTGAAAAGCATGAAATCTCGTATTTAATCACAACACAGTCGGGTGTTAATAACTCGATATGCTATACGTGCCATTCGATCGTTTTGTTGCGGCGGTTATTGTAGTGAACGCGGACACTTATTGAAGCCCGCCATTGGCAATCGCCGTGCCCTTCTAGCTTCGTCTCCCTTTTATCGTTCGCGTTGCTTTTTTCCTCGCTTCCGTGGTGTCCGGTCCATCGTCCGCAGGACGAGCTGACACGTATCAAAATGTGGAAAAAAGGGCGAAGCCAGCGAATATTGCTGCGTACGTGTCGGGAAATCGTTTACTCCGTCGTCCTCTGACCAAAGAGAGCAAAAAAAAAGAAATAAAAATGGATAGTATATTGTTCCCATATCTGACGATTTCTACCTATATTCATTCCTGTAATGCACGTCATCTGTATTGTTGTATACACACACACATATATATACGCGAGTCGCTCCGGTAGTCATGGATTTCCTCTCGACGGAAACGCTGAATGTCAAGCCGCGAAAAATGACGGTTGTTTCCAAGTGGAGACACACAGATAGCTTCCGAGTTTCTGTCCTCTGCGATCGTAAAAAGCGAGCGTTCTGGCTATTTGCAATTTAAAAAGATGTCCAGTGGGCAAATTGTATTTGCTTAGAAAGAAATCTGCTATATATCACAAAAGGAAAAAGGGCTTCGCCGTAAAGCCGACCTTCCCTGCCCTCACTCTTCGCACGGGAAGAAGGGACAGTCAACTTCGTGCTTGTGTCAAGTTCAATTTATAATCGCAGTAAAGTGCTACGCTCGGTATATACCCCTCTGTACTCTCTAATGACGATTGAGAGCTAAAGCTAACGTCGACGCTCATCCTACGTGGCTTGCAGTAAACCGAGTGACGCGACGAGGAACGATGAGTCTTGAAAATACGTCGTTCGACGAAGTGGATGCCCGCGAGCGATTGAAATATCGTCGTGACGTGTCGAGATAGCGCCTCGGCTCGGCATTCATTCGCGCGATATTTCGTAATCTCGATAGAAACTTTTGCCGTTTACACGTTCGCTCCCGTTGAACAACGACCGACCGCGTTTCGTTACTCCATAACGTCCATGGATGTAGGAATATCTGAATGGAGAATATTTCTGCAGTGTTGAAGCTTAAGGGGAGTGGAGATTGTGTGTAACGGATATATCAAGATCAATCAAGATTATTATTATTATTGCAAGCTTTATTGCAAGCAAAAGGCGAGGCATTAGTGAAAGGGCTGCTTTGACTTTGCCTTTATTTAACACAAAAAAGTACGTCAAAGTATTATTAAGAGCAAATTCTATACAATCAGTTGCCCTAGAGCGGAAGGAGCATAGATAGCCTGCAGATTGTACCCTAAAGTGGAAGGGAATTAAAATATTTTAGGGTATGAAATACCATATTGTGTATCAAAAGGCTGAGCGGAATTTAATCGATCTGTAGCGAGGAAAAGATAGTTCACATTGCAGACGCGTCTCACAAGATGGTTCAGCATGAAAGTCAGCTTTATAGTGTGGAAGATTATGAAAATAAGAGGGGGATCCTATATGTAGAATGGTTTACACAAGATAGCATAAGCGCAGAATAAATCGTTGTAGGATCCTGAGACATCTTGATTGTCGGTATGCAGGTGAAATTTTCAAATGCTCAAATTTTCTATGTCATGCAAAACGGAGACAAGAATTTTGGATTTGTAGTACTCTCTTGAGAAACTGCTGAGACATTTAAGGAATATACACGTAATTGTATAATGGAACAAAGAAATAACTAATAGCTGCGATATGAGAAGCTTTTGAGGAATAGAACAGAACATGGCGAAGGAGATAAAACAAATATAAGCTGATTTATATTTAGGTATAATATGATGATCAAAGAACCAATATGAGTTGACATGAAGTCCCAGAATTCTGACTGTAGAAATAATTAAAATTGAAATTAAAGAAACGTTAAAAATGATTCAATACAAAGGCAAATTGAGAGTGGAACCAATAAGAATGATGGCGGCGGTATGTCTCCAATCTAATTGTATCTTATTTTTTTATTTCGCGGTTTTTCTAATTCTGCAGTCTTCGCGTAACAATCAGACATATTGTACAAGAAAATATAACATTTAACTGCAGACACATATTTTGTTTATGGAATACATAATCTCGAAACGTAGTAACGGTTAAAATCACGCCGCGCGACTGTGCACGATGTGAAAATACAGTGTCCGATAATTCACGAAGGAGCCGCGGTGTACAGGTAGATTAGATCAAACTGAACAAATAATCTCTCTACCATTTCGCGAACAACCACGTAAAGTTTTGAGTTATTAATTAAAAAATATTTGTAAATGATTACGTGCCATATAATAAATGAACTGTGATAGTGACCTTTGCCGTTGTATGCTTATATGTTAAATTAAACTGAACAAAAAAGTCCTCTATCATTTTTCAAGTAATCACATAAATCTTTAGTTATTAATTAAAGAAGATTAGTGTAGTATTATGCACAGCTGTATACTAATCTTGTTTAATTAACAACTGAACATGTACGTAGTCATTTGGAAAATGGTAAAAAGCTTTTCTGTTCAGTTTGATCTAATATACAAGCACTGAGAGAAAAATAATAGATGGAATAACTATAATCTCACTATATTTTATAGTTCGTTTTAGTCTCAAACATATATTTATAGTTTATCTAAACATGAAGATATAGCAGAATGAACACAGATTTATAGTCATCATCTTATTACTCTATGTGTATAGTAAAGCATTCTTTGGGAATATAGTTACATGTACCTATATTTGCCAAATATTCTAATTGTATTAACTATATAAAATAGTTAATTTCTCTTACCATTCAATATTTGCTACCTTACTATATATTTTATTTCAGATAATTATAATTCTTGGTAAAAGTTTTACATGGGTTATATTACAGTTATATTACGCTTATATTGTAAATATTACAAACATTATGGTGACATTTACTATAAAAATGATATTGCTATAATATATTATATATATATATATATATATATATATATATATATATATATATATATATATATATTATAATATATATATATTTTTTTCCAATTAAAGCAGAAAACTAAAACCTCCCGCAAATGCTGCTTAGTTAACACAAAATTTGATATATTCAACACAGTAAAAAACAGGGGTTTTGTATGAAACTCAAAGCGATATAAACTGAATATTATTGACAGATGTCTAACCTCTCTGAAACCACCGAAATCAGCTGTCACTATGAAACATTCATAACAGCCAGAGCCATCTTTTGAAAACGGACCGAACTAATTTGTACTCCCAATATTTTTTTTTCAATGAGCATGCAGAGACAGAATCACCATCACAACTCACCTACCATATGGCCCATGATCATTCACGAATCTCCTTCGATTAATAACTTAGAATTTTGTGTTGTTCGCAAAATAGTAGAGAAAATTTTGATCTAAATATCTGGATCTACATATATTGTGTTATACATGTGCTAATTTTGATCAGTCAAGATGGCTGCGACGAATATTTTCCTTTACCTCTCAAGCTTCACACCCTGTCTATAGAGGTACCATATACTTGGTCCAGATGCTTCTACGTCCATGATAATGCCGTTTCTTCCGCGATCGGCCCATTCAGTCGACTGAACGTGCCAATCGTCGTCGCGCCGTGCGAATGCCACGACTCGTGCGCGTGGTGGGCTTTTCGCTCCAGATACGTGCCTTTGCAAATAATGGAAAAACTTTGGCCGCGACAGGAAGGACAACGGCGACGGCGACCGAGCGGATATCGTGCGTTTCTCATTCTTCTCGGTCAGCGACGACAAGCACGGCGAATGTGCGCGCCGACGACGTCAGAGTTTCTGCATTCCGTGGTGGCGTTGACAGAGCGACGTAGTCGGTGGTCTGCACATCCACAATAAGAAGGATAAGAGTGTCGCGTAAGAGTGCGGTCGACGAAGTGACCCGCGTACTTCCTACATCGGAAACCACTAACGGCAGATGGGAGTTTAGTCGTTTCGTTTCCGTATTTTTAACGCGGAGAACACTCCTTGCCGACAGTTCGTATTGGTTTAAGAGGAACGGCAAAAATAGATAGATGGACAGATATTTGTATGAGTGAGATAAAAAAAGTTGAACGTAACATTAAGGGGATGTCGGCGCGAGCGACAAACTTGATAAGCATCGATAACGTAGAGCGATCATCAAAAAATAGAAAACGTTATCATCATTTACTGACGATATCGAATTTATGTATACACATAGATACTTATGGAATAAAGATTGTCAAATAAGCGCTAACATGATACCGCCATCTTTTCACAGATGTTATGCAAGTGTGTGTGCTATATTGTTATTTTAATTTTCTTATACATAGACGTTAATGTAAATGTCGCGTTGATATTGGCATTCTCTCCAAAATAGGTTCTTGTTACTTTTCTGATAAATTTTTCAAACCGCTTGAGTACTGGGTGCATCAAAGAAAGTTTTTAAAGAAGAATGTTGTAGGCGCAAGCGTACTTTGCGAATAATTTTTTGAAAAATACGTTACCTATTATTTGAGTTTTCAATATAATTTGAGGTATCATTTTCATTTCGCACTTGACCAACCCTTATAGAAATATCATACTAAGAATCATTGATAATTACTTATT